GTCACGCCGGAGACCCGGGTTCGATTCCCAACGTGGGTACAATATGTGAAGCCCATTTCTGATGTCTCCCGCCGTGATATTACTGGAATATTGCTAAAAGCGGTGTAAAACAAAACTCACTCACTCAAAAGGGGGTCTGTCTCTGACATTTGATTTCTACGGGTCTTTTTGTTTAAAGAACAAAAATACCCATCCCCATGTGTTTGAATAAACAGACTCATTGTCAGACTCAATCTCGATCTGAATATGGCCATCCACATCAGTTCCACATCACCTTCACAGACATGAGCTAGACAGGCAATATGACTTTCACTTATTAATAATCGTTGAAACTTCCATAAAAAGAGGCCATATTGCAAAACCTCTGTGCTGTATTCCTAAACATGGCTAATGCCTAAACTTTTCCGACTGATGTATGATGGAAACAGTTGTTGAGTATAAAGTGAAATGCCCAGATAGATATTACTTACCCTTACTTGGAAAAACATACAACACAAACATAATACGATATAATATTATTGCAGCGATGCATATAAACGTTTCGTGCCAAAATAAAGTTTTCATATGTAACTAAAAGTAGATTGATTATATATAAATTTCTTTGCTAAGTGTTTATTTTATATCGTGTTTCACCATTTCCTTTCTTCAAATGACTTGGATGACCCATGTCATCGTATCCCAGTTGCATAAATCGAGGCTCATGTTGATCACTGGATTATCTGGCACCACACTCGATTATTTACAGATAACCATCATGGAATATTGCTGAGTGCAACAACAAACAAACAAACAAAAAAAACTTTTCTTGAAAGTATATGCATCATGTATGAACTCTGGCCCTGATTTCTCGAAACAAACTTAAGTCTGAGTTTCGACTTAAGTTAGAGTTTTTACTCAAATTTGAAAAAAAATGCATTTCCCAGAATGAACTAAAATCGATATTAAACTCAAACATAGTAGACAATTTGAGTTTGGTGGATAGATTACTTAAGTTGTTTGGGCTTTTTTATTTAAAAAATGCAGTTGAGTTAAAAATTCAGCTGTTTCAAATTGTCCAACTCAGTTTGAAATTTGAGTAAAAAACTTAAGTTTGTTTCGAGAAATCGGGGTCAGATCAGTCTGTGATCGTGGATGCAAGAGACATTCACATGAATCATCATGGTTAACTCGCCTGTGACATTATGGTGTAATCACATAAACTTATGGAAACGAATAAAGGAACACATGAAAGTACAAGTGTTCCTTTTTTCATTCCCAGAATTTCATACACAGTGCAATACATACCTTGTGGAGAAACCCCGAAAAGAATAAAGGAAGATTGTACTTTCATGTGTTTCCGTATTCGTTTCCATGAGTCTATCATAATGGAAGCCAATTCAATAACTTCCCAAGACAGTTCGTGTTCATACTGATATCACAAGTGATATATTGTCATTTTCAAGGACCACGGTCTCAGTGCATTTGTATTTGTATTCACAGGTTCGTAAATCCAACCAAATTATGAATTTGTTTTTTAGATATTTGTAAATAAAAAATATATAATAGATTTGTGTTATACATGTATTTAAAATAAATCAAATTATGGATTTGTTTTATGCGTGTGTGTAAATTTAAAATACATCATAGATTTGTTTTATACGTTTTTAAATCAAATCAAATTATGGATTTGTTTTATAGATATCTGAAAATTAAAAAAATATCATAGATCAGTTTTATACATGTTTTAAATTAAATCAAATTATGGATTTGTTTTATACATATGTGTATGTGTAACATAAATTACATTTAAGATTTGTGTTATTCATGTTTGTAAATTGAATCAAATTTTGGATTTGTTTTATTTATATATCATACTAAACAACAAAACCAACAAAACAAGAAATAACCTGGACACTGTGCTGTTAATAAAATTTGCTTTACATGACTACTTGCTAATGACGTCACCCTTAGACAAGCTGAGGTTGAATCACATTTTAAGCTCAAATAGAAACATCGGTTAAAACGGCCTCGTACTTTATAGCAAGTAAGATACAAATATAGTTTTTCAAATTTTGGAACATTGTAGTTCTACGTTTAAGTTTTTAATTCCTGGCAAAAATAAAATGGAAACTTTCCAAAGTTAACATCCTTATGTTTCTTATGCAGAGTGAAACAGTTGTGTGTTTTGCAGTAAAATAACGGTTTATTGGCTGAGTAGTTGATTTGTTGGGCTATCGAGTAGGACATTTGGATTGATTTCTCAAATGGGGGTTACATGTGTGAACGCCATTCCTTGTGTTCCCCACTGTGTAATTTCATTCAGCGTTAAAGTTGAACATGTTTTAGTACAGTGAAACACGTATGTTTTATTACACCCAGTGGTTTATTGCTCAATCTAAGACCGACTTCCAATATCCACGCCGGCATCTGTCAGTGACAGAACGAGAAATCACGAGATTACGTCTCCGCAGGCAACAGCCGGTAATCAATTTTTCACATGGGTTGGGTGTGTAAAGTTCATCTCCTTTCTTAAATGTCACATCTTCACCTCACCTGACAACTTCCAATCTAAATGTCTGTTGAAATAGCCAGGTGATTGATAAACGAATAGGATTCCTCCTCGACGTTTGTCGGTGTGTCACTCGAACATGCAAAGAATCATCGAGATGCGTTCTCTATCAATAAAACTGCCCCATCGTCTCCACTCGACGCAGGTGCTGCATGCTTGTGATATGAGATTCATCTCAAGTTTCATAGAGCATTAATGTAAAAGATTACAACGTTGGTTTCATATCACTCAAAGGAATCCTTATAAGTACTAAAATTATATAATGTCACTTATTCGATAAGAACCTTCAGCATCAGATTTCAAACACTATCTTTAAAATCTGCACAAACATTTTTTCAAACTTACATCAGTGGATTTGTCTTATATAAAAAATCCACTGCCTACTGTAACTTTCGGTTTTCTCATACTATTATTAAATTACAAACTATAAATTATGAAAAAATAAATATACAGTGTTCATGAAAGAAGTAAAGGATTCGAACCCATTCAAAATCAAACCAACATGCCCTTCAAAAAAACTCTATCAAGAGTTACTTCCCCTGAAACCATAATGTCTGATCCAACGTCATTACATGTGATGGATTAAGTTAGCAATCTGATGTATACGCTGGGGAGTAATCCAAACGTTATCAATACCTTCGATAATTGTTCATGAGAGTGAAGTGTACAAGTGAAGTGACCAAGGTCATAGGGTGGTTCGGCAGGGTTGTGTTGTTGGTGGCGTGTCATTCACTCTCGACGACCTGTGGTGTGGCTTATAATATCAACACCTAGGTACTATACCCAGGCACGATCATACCGGCCGCCGCCCTTCAGCAAACACACAGATTATGATAATCATCTCTGACGTATTACGAGGTGTTCCATATAAAACTGAAAACAAATTCTCCTCAAGTTTTTCGGAACAATTATATTTCGCGAGACATTGCTGGTTGTCCTTCTAGTGTGGTTTTCTTTGTAATGTGGTTTTCTAAAAATAATGTCCAGTGCCTCATTTCAGAGATATTTCATGATTCGCAGGTCCACCCAAAAGATGAACGACCCAAATCCATCGTGACGGTTAACCATCATCAACGTAACTTGAAATATGAATTAAATTCCGGTGTCAGTTAAGACAGTATTGTGTTTGATTTTGTTTCAAGATCTCTGAGTTTCACTCAGCAACACAGAATCTGTATCTCTTGTTTCACATAATTTGAGAGTCTGATTTATAACCGCGGTCACATTAATATCTGAACTTCGTGCCCGTTTATATTCCACAAAAAGTGAAATGCAAAACCCGTCTTCACCAGCCTGGTCGCCAGAGCAATAATCTTTACACGATACTCAAACAGCTTACTCGAGATAGTCTAGAAGTCTTTTTCCGATGTTTATTGTGTTTGAGTTGTCTTGAAATAGCTTAATATCAACTGAATACTTGGGAAAGATATTCTGTTTATCTGTCACGTGTATATTAATATTGAAATATTTCGCTAAAGGTACTTCTGGGACTGAGCCACTGGCAAATATATCTAGTTAAAGAGATACACTATCTGATAGTCTACATCGTCCAACGACCGAATATTGGAATTTGGACTGATGACAACGGGGATTCTTTCTAATTGACTGCCTTGTGTTTAATTAAGGAACACGAGACATTTAATCAGACATACAGAGAGGAACGTATGTCGAAGGTGCTCACGGAGATATTAAAATCGCAGACTTGGTTTAATCTACGGGACGAATTAGAGAAAGTAACTTCGTGTTATAATGATTTTTAGGTTCCCGTTGGTCACTTTAAACGGTAGTCCGTTAGACACTGGAGACTCTGCTTGATTGGTTCAGACACAGTTGTATATATCGACAGAATTAATCGCAATGGGATATACGTAGCAAACGTAGTTTAACTCACTCATTCAGTATGCAATGACGTCATGGTGTGAGTGCATTTGAACCGAATCCACTCACACACCCACTCACTTAAACACATTTTGATATGGTATACATGCTTTATCATTAGACCAAACTCACTCTAGATTTACGTGTGATGTGTTACCGTTAAACGATATATGTATGTATGTATGTATGTATGTATGTATGTATGTATGTATGTGTGTATGTGTGTGTGTATGTATGTATGTGTGTGTGTATGTATGTATGTGTGTGTGTGTGTGTGTGTGTGTGTGTGTGTGTGTGTGTGTGTGTGTATGTCTGTATGTATGTATGTACCACCATGTATAGTGTAATAAAGCACACTTTCGCCCTGAACTATTATAGTTAAAGCACGAGGACGCTTGCGCTCACTCATGCCGTGTTCGGTTACATTATTCTTGTGGGCGTGTAAGAATACAGAAACCGATGCCAACTCCAACACCGGGTTTTCGGGGTGATTGTCAAAACGAATAGGCCACTCCCAACTATTCCTTCATACGTGATGAATAATGGAGGGCTTAACGATACTAATACAGTACTAATGGACTTGGGTGTCACATGAATAAAAATGACATGCACATTTTGTTTATTTCGGCTGCAGACGAGGTCATCGCAAAATGGCGTTGCAGTCACTCTCAGAGTCGCTGCACAATTTCACAGACCTGTCCAGCGTTTGATCTTTTCAACCCATTAATCTTCCCAGTTCCTATGTTTTGCATTTTCTCTGAAAGTTCCGTGTGTTTTATATCATTATTATAAGAACAGCTCATCTGAGTTCAACATCAAACGGAAGAAACGTTTAATTTCCGAAAACATTCCCTGCCATTACTGTTAATCACATTTTTGCACAGATTTCAATGAGTTAACATACTTTTATTTATCCAAGAGGAGCAATGATTTCAATTACATATTTTTATTGAATTGATTCTCACATACGTTCACACGTTGTCGTCAGTTCAACGTTCAGTGTGTGTTTGAGGGCTTTTTCAACACATTTCCTTACTGAAGTAATCACACGATGGGAAATGGTCACGCCGACCCTTATACTACTAGTACTACAACTCGTTTATGATTACAATTATTATGTTTAGATTAAAAATAGTATGCAGCAGAGAGGGTTCGGGTGATCCTGGCACAGTCAGGCTGGTAAGACTCATCATCAGCTCAGGGCCCTCGCCCCCTCTACACGCAGCCCAGACAGCGAATTGGACTTCTCCCAGGAAACGCTGCCTAGTCGAACCCACCAAGATCTTTCTGGAGAATATGAAGGCTCCCTAACACTGCAGCCTTCTGCATTACCCAGAGTGTCAGAAGGGATGTGCTCCTGGTGGAGAACCCGGGCACTCTCCTGATCTGCGCCAAGAGATCAGGAGGTACCAAACCAAGGGCACCGAGAACAATGGGGAGCCTGACGACAGTGTACTTGGGATGCAAGCGAGAGATTTCAAAGGCGAAAAATCACGTTGCTGTCAAAAGGGATTACTACTACTACTACTACTACTACTACTACTACCACTACTACTACTACTACTACTACCACTACTACTACTACTACTACCACCACTACTACTACTACTACTACTACTACTACTACTACTACCACTACTACTACTACTACTACTACTACTACTACTACTACTACCACTACTACTACTACTACCACTACTACTACTACTACTACTACTACTACTACTACTACTACTACCACTACTACTACTACTACTACTACTACTACTACTACTACTACTACTACTACTACTACTACTACTACCACTACTACTACTGCTAGACTGCTCATGCACTATATATTATGTATTTTTTATAATTCCAAACGTCAAAGAGTCCATGGAGAGTTAAAGACAGGCTGGTGGTTGAACTTTTGCGAATGAACCACTGACAATTGGTGCTCGCGAAAAACCGTATCATGTCCTTTCATCCTCGGTAACATTTTTTATAAATCGTAAGCGTTTGTTGCCTAATGTCCCACCCAGCAGTACTCCAGCCATGTGGCGTTGGCGATAAACTCAAATCGTAAGCGCTTGTTGATTTTGTACCAACCCAGTAATACTCCAGCCATACCGCTTTGCCGATCGGAATCAAATCGTAATATTCCCTTCTCACTTGAGGCGGAATGAGCCGGAATGCTGTCGGAATGAAAATTAGTGGAAATTCGAACTGCATTCTAAACTTCTTACTGCATTCCGAATGCATTCCAACTATTCGGGTCAATTCTTGTAACATGCCCGAATGTTTTGAACATGTTCAAATCTTTCGAAGTACATTCGAAGTGGAAAAATATCGAACGGCATTTTAAGTGCATTCAAACTGCATTCTAAGTATCCTTACTGCATTCTAAGTATTCGAATGTATTCGAATTCGTATTCGAACGTTTTGGAATTTTTTGTTCTGGTTGATTCTCCTTGATTCCTGTAAATTCGAAATAAGAGTGAAGGAGCCTTAATCGTTTCATGCCTAATGTCCTAACCAGCATTACTCCAGCCATGTCGCGTTGGCGATCAAAATCAAATCGTAAGCGCTTGTTTCCTAGTGTACAAACCAACAACGCTCCGCCCGTACGGCTTTGCCGATGGGAATGAAATCATAAGCGTCTGTTGACCGCCCAGCACAATACCAGGCTGTAAACCAACTGACTGTCAAGGAGTAAGGAGTAGAAAAAATCCTTAAATGTCACTGTATGGGATACCATCGCGTAACGTGTTGACAAGCAAAGCGTCGTATTTGAAGTTCCTCTAAATTCAACCATAAATTGTCTGAATGAATCTACCAGGTCTTTGATGGCGAAGCCTTATCTATCTCCTTCCAGGAGAATGCACTTTATACGTATGTATAAATTGTCTCTATGGCAATATATACCCTTGTGTGACATCTGTAGTGGTTTTAAGTCAAATGATTGAGTTACAAACAAATATCTCTGACACACTATAAACAAAATTCCGCAAATTCACAGTCTTCTTAATTTAAACTCTCCTTTTTTTAACTACATGTCAAACGCGAGTTGATGTATTTAATATTTAACGTGTCAGCTGAAAATAACAATTTGTACTTGTACAAAAAAAGGTGATGAAAAATATTAACAACATGAAATGTCGGCTGGAATTGCTCTTTCTTCAGAACTGTACGACAGTGAAATACACTATGCACAAATTTCATCAGAACTCTACGACAGTGCACAAATTTCAGCTTGTACTGCAGAGGTCAATACTGAAGGGTACTCAACCTCCTTTAATTCAGCGTCATATTTCACAGATAAACATACATGATAAAAATAATTTCTAGTTAATGTTTAAAAAACGTTTTCATGTTCTTTTTCTAATTTGATAAAAAAATAATATAAAATTCCCGGGGTGATGTATGGTACTCAACTTTATCAACTTTATGATGAGACACCGGTGTTTAGTTCATGCATTTCTTCTTGAACATGTCAGTTGACAAAAACATTTCTATTCTTGCATCAAAGAAACGTGATGACAAATATCAGGACGTCGACAAAACCTGTAGTTCATTCACATCCTCTTACCGTCTTGGGAGAACATAAGTGTATGGATTAGAACCAGTAGTCAGCGTGAAGGGTACTCATGAGTCAAGTGTCTTGCGTCTGTCATTCCACTTCAGGCCAGAACAGTGTCACAATATGTCACATAAGCAGTTAATTACGTAAATCACCCTCTTGAAAGTCTTATCTCCGGTCATGATCAATACGGAGACCTTGGGTTAAAGATTGTTTTGTGTGTTGAGGTCAGCAGAGCTCGAAACGATCATTGAAACTTGTTCTTAAACGTATTGCATGACTTCTTCTTTCGGGGTATCGATTTGAGTTGGAAATCCGAGGGGTGATTTATGTACTGAAGGAGTACAGCTTGGTTTGAAGTAGGTCTTTTCTAGAGGTGCTTGCTTGTTGTTTAATGAGATACTCAGCAATATTCCAGCTGTGTGGAGGTGATCCGTAAATAATCGAGTCTGGACTATATAATCCAGTAATTGACATAATGAGCATCGATCTGCGCAATTGGGACACGATGTCATGCATCAACCATGTCAGCAAGCCTGACCACTCGATGCCGTTAGTCGCCTCTTAGGACAAGCATGGGTTGCTGAAGATCATAATTCCTGAGTCTTTATTGCATTTCCGCTTGTACTAACCTCACAGGTGATCAATGGCAGCAAGATGTTGTGATACGTATCTAAAACTAAATACAGGAATTATATTTTTAATATTTTCTTTTGAATATCGGTTTTTTTCTTTGCTGAGTTGCAGAGGTCATACATTAACTTGGAATTCCAAAAGGAATATAAATTCCAATAAACTATATAGTATGTAATGATAAGGTATGAAGGTACCGGTACAACGCTAGCCAAGGAAGATATGCGCAACAGAGTTTAAACGTGGCAGGAAGACCATTGATGACAACTCCTGTCCACGATATGACAGAGTGGCCAATACTGTCATATTGCCAGTACTGTTTCCAGCAGAGAGTTCATTTCATTATCAAAGAAACTATGACAGAAAGTATCAGATCGCTGGATTCGACAACAGCTCCTGGCACAATATGTCTTGTGATTAATCTATCCTCGTTTGAAGCTGGTCAAAGACGTTCATGACCAAACAGAAATAGATACAGTGGAAACATCTGACACCACCGACTGTCCCATCAGAAAAGCTTATGGCATCCTCGTCCATAAGGTGTCATTATGGTGGACTTTCTCCCAGAAGGCCATACACGAAGCATATCCTGCTGTACCTTTGCTGCAATCAAGGGTTGAAACTCAGAGACGAAGGGACCTGGGATTCATCTTTCACCAGAACTATGCGCCAGTGCACAAATTAGTTATTGTTATGGTTACGATCCACAAGGATGATTTTGAGCTCCTTCAGCACCATCCCTATTCTCCCGATCTGACTCCGTCAGTTTTCGATCTGTTCTTAGACACGATGTAAGTGGTGTCTGAAAACGAATTCCACTCTAACGACGACGTCACAGAATTTGATAACTCTTTCGACAAGGAGAGGAGCAGTTTATAATTATTTATGGATATACCAGTTTCGGTGTAGATGCTTACGCCGTTATCAAGCAACATACCAGCTTCTAAATGCCACTCAAAGAAGTTAAACTTCTTGGAAAGGCAAGGGACTACAACTGAGATAAAATGGGGAAGGGAAATATGTTAGATAGTAAATTATTTTATGTTTTTAGGGCAAATATTTCCATGAGAGGTTCAGAACATATCAGTCACTGCTGGAAAGTAGACAGTACTAAGTACACTCGTGCCTGATTATAGAGACATTCCGTCTGATTGTCTACATCGCACAACAACCATGTATTGGAATTTCCGACATACAGCCACAGGAGATCGTTCTAATTGACCGCCTTGTCTTTAATTATGGGGCACGGGACATTTAATCAGACAGACTGAAAAAACAGCTGGCACAAAATAGTAGACTTACATTGATCTATTGGACTCGTAGAAGTAGGTGTTGGGATCTAAAAAACTGTATTAACTATAGTCCTATGACAAATCCCACTGACATTTA